GACTGGAATCCCCTCAGTCTGACATTTTCATACACTGACATTTTCTTTGTTATGTTGCTGTTGTTCTACTTGTGTAATTGACTTTGCAAGTAGAACAACAGCAACATAACAAAGAAAATGTCAGTGTATACACAGCACTAATCTATAATGCTGGGAGGCTGGGAGGCCCTCCGGCTGTCAGGCAGTGCTGACAATACAATAGCTTTCAAAGGGATATCACCATCATGCTTTTATTCCTGACATCAATCAAGACAAAGAGAACCCTTTTCACAAGACATTAAAAATCAAACCTTTGTGCAAGAAGATAGGTAAAACAGCACTCTCCTTAAAGACAGCCATGCAGAGCAATCAGATAATTGGTGATCCTTGAAAGCAGTAAAGTATTTTTATTTACTGAGTGTACAACCCCAGTCACTGGCTGCCACCCCATCCTGGCAGGTATGCTATGAATCCAAAGTTTCCATCTTTATCTCCCCCACTCACTTCACCCTGCCTGGTGCCCACAGCAAACTGACAGCCAGCTCTGAAAACTTCAACAGGGATATATAACCAATCCAGGCTTCACTAGTCCATTTTGAGTGCAAAACTACTCTGATTACAGACTAATATATCTACACACAAAACGCGCTTGCAAGCCAACAGGAATTTGCAGAAATTGACAAATTGGCCCAACCACACCTATTGAGGTTACCTATTATAACCAGGCACTAAGAGTTTCCAAGGTACTCTTCTGTTTTAATTACCCAACACTCACTCAGATAGGAAGAAACCCTGATATCTATACAAATATTTTCAAGACATAAAGATAATACTCTTTGCAAACATCAGTGTACCATGCACAGACAAGTCTGGACTTTAATTCAGCCAGGGTTCAGGACAAGCAAGCACCTAAAGCCACCCACCCAACTTGCAACATGGATGGGGCTATCAGGAAACCTAGCCATCCACCACCACTAGATTACCTTGAAACAGTTAAGATGCCTGCATGCCATAAGTTAGTGACACTTCAGGAAAACTGCAGGTCCCAGAGCAGGAAGGGGGAACTAATGTTCAAGAGAGTTTATAATCTACACACTTTCTGAACCGTTGATGTACCCAGCCACCAGCCTTCCAAAAGGTCCAAGATGATGGCCTTAACAACTAAAGGGGGTCACCCCCACTCAGGGCTTGACAGAGCTCCTGGTACAGGTAACTCCAAGTCCTAGAATGTTGTGAAGGAGGAGAGGAAGAAAGACACTCTGCTGAAGAGCCCAGACAAAGTGTTTTGTCCCTCTGATATCCAACAGACCGCATACCAAAAGTATGCAACCAAGTCGAGTCACCCTGAGACAAAGATGTTACTCTCGAAGCACTATAGGCAGCAATGGTTGCTTTTACTTTTTCAGACAGAAGTAGACACTGTTGAGTCTTTTTAAACAGTGTTTGAACAGGCTCCCTTCAATTCATTAATAAAATGGGGAGAAATGTTAAAAGAGGGAGCTGGTCCTAACGCTGCCTTGAAAACACACTCTCCCACCACTGCCACCTAAATGAGTCTTTTCCAGAGCCAGGCAGCAAGTCTGTACACTGGCCTCAGTGGTGAGTTCCTTTCGTTTACACATCCAAATAAACAGTTAAGAGAAATCAATGCATCTAATTGCCAGACTATTAAGTCCTACATCAGGGGAAGAATTCCACAGCCACCAGCTTAAGAGTTAGCTACCGATATAGCAATTATTGCAACTTTGTATTAGATTGAACCAGATCCCCAGCCTTCCGACTCTAGCCAGGAGAGCTGTACTCCAAGATGCCTAGCTCCAGTTTCCTCCTTTCATGGTTCCCCCTCCTCCTCCTCCTCTGTGAACGCACTATTGTAGGCCAAAACATTTGCCAGGGCTGGCGGGTTCTGTGGAATTACTTTATGACTGTTAAGTCAACAGCATTTTGCACTTTTCATTATTAATGCACACTTGGCACCTTATGGTTAAACGTTAAGCAGGATTCTCCTGCCAGAGGCACATAGTTATTATTATATTATTGCTTATTAAGTTTTTGCAAGGAAACAAGTGTAAGAATCTAAACAGCAATTACTAGACATAAAGAATGTTTTCAAGAATGAAACAGGCCCTTCAAAACCTGAGAATAGGTAACTTAATTGGGGGAATTAAATATTAGGATTAAATATCAGTTACCCCAATCTACATAGAAAGCTATGGAAAGTGCAAAGGATTTGTTTTGCCCTTCCTGCAAGATCATGTACATTTAGCCAAACAAATGTCGACAATTTACACTTGTATGTGGTCTCAGATAAATCAAGAAACCTGTAACCCCAGAATGCCTCTATTTATTACATCTCAATTATTTCCACTCCAGCCAAGAGCAGGGTTGGCAGGAAGACAGCGGGGCACCAGTGCCTTCCCGCGAAGGCCTTCAGAAAATGAACTTTTCAGAGCAAAACTGGGCTGCGGCCAGAGGTCATCAAGGGAGTTGGGAGAGGACAAGGGCCTTGGGACTTTAAGGCTTCAGAGGCAAATAGCCACTCTCATCCTGTTCCTCAGTCACCCCTCAGTGTGTTCAGGCGGCTAAGCACCCATCTGAGGGGCTGGAATTGGGACAAAGCAGCAGGCCAGGCCAGGAGAGGGCAGCCTGTTAGAGGAAAATGGCAGGGGAGGGGCTCAGCCCATACACTTCCTCTCCCCAGCACCTCTGCTCTCCAGGGGCCCCTGGAGCCGGGACGTCCTATAAATATAAAGCAAAGCAAGGAGAAGGAGTGCGTGTGTGTACCTATATATCCATATCTCATCACAAACGTGCGCACCCTGGGTACTCGGTGCAGGAAGCTGGCCAGGGTGCGGAAGGTGAGTACCTGGCACACTGTGAGGACGTCCACAGCGCTCCCTGGGGGACCTGTGACCGGCCTGCATGGCGCAGACAATGAACTCCTGGCGGAGGCTCCCTGCCTGGTTGGCTTCCGCAGAGCAGGCAGGAAGTGCGGCAGCAGCCGCGTGGCCTGGGCAGGGGGCAGGGAGGGGGCGCGGGGTGGCCGGCCGCATGCGCGCCTGAAGCCTGTGCCAGCAGCGCTGGCCGCTCTCCACATCCCCGGGCAACAAGGAGGGGGCTGGAGAAAGCCAGCGAGGCTGGGACCAGCAAGGACGGCCTCCAAGCTGCCAGCCTCCAGGGCGCCCGTCCTCACCGCCTCTTCCTTCCTCTTGCCAGCATG